CCTATGCTAATAATTATTACATTTGAAATAATTTCATCAGTTAAAATTTTCCTTTTAGTACACCTCACACTGCACCTAAATCAATACCTCCAGTCAAGTAGAACAAAATCTTAGAAATATTTGACCAAAAAAACTACTTAGTTACGTATTGATCCTGAACCTGACTCCGCATTCTTTGACTTCTTTGACATATTCAGTTGGTTTCCCAATAATATAAACTCTTAGTTGTGCTCCATACCGCAAACAGGTTTAATTTTCTCAGTTATTGCTCTACTAATTGTTTGTATAATCAAATGTTTTATGAAATGTTTCTCAACTCTCTTTAGCAGTTCAATGTATCATGTACATTGAAGAAACGACTGAAACTACTATAGATTAATGCCCCCTCTAATATACTTAAAATTTTCCCAAAGCTTTTAACTCTAGCTAGAAATTAGCTAACTCCATTGCTTATTGTTGTTATAAAATGTCTACACTTTACCTACTCAGAAGGTTTGACCTCACACTTTAGTTAGAAGTCTTCAGTCTATCAATTGTTCCTTCTTATTTAGCCTTGTTCTATTCACCTCCTTATAGTAAAAGATCATTGAAGCAGAATATTTAAACAATGGCATGGCAAAGTTAAAGATGTCTATGGTGGTGTCCAACTATTCATCTGGTGACATCTGAGCCTCATCATTCGTCTGATAGTGTCCAGGGTCTTAAATGACTTACCATATAAGTGGCTACCCATTTAACCTTTTAAACCCTTGCAGAAGACAGGTTACTCCTTTGTGGGCAACATGAAACCAGCTCACACAGAAAATGAGGCCCTGCTAATAGCAAGGTAACTATCCCAACTCTAGATAAACAAAGTTCATGCAAAAGAAAGTACTCTTATGTGTGATCATCAAACTCCCCAGAGCAATTCTTGATCAAAAGGGGGGAGTGAGAAAGAGCATTCCAAAACTAGGCTCTTGGTATGATTGAAACTTCTGGCTAAAGTCTAGGCCAAACCTCTTTTTGTCCAAAGTGACTCAGTTTTGTATTTTTAATCACAGCCTCTGTCATACAATACAGTCTATCTTCTGTATAATATTCCACCGTACCTCTAACCGAGATACTAGCAATTCTACAGAAAGACGTAGTTTTGTCCACCTTGGTTGCTTATTTCAAATTTGTGGTTAGAAATGGCCGAAGTTAAGAAGAGATAATCCAACTTTGTACAGGTGTTAGACAAAGTGTTAAACACGTGACTTTAGCAGCTAAGCCAAATCTAAGATACCCCACTTAAGACTTATAATTAGAATAACGTTACAAAGTTATAGCCCTTCTGTATCAAAACCCCTTTTCTCTCCGTGAGCATTAGAATACTTAACATTTTCACTTACAGTCATCCTATTCCTTCAACGAACTCTCTACTTTTATCTTTCAACACAACTCACCACCATAATGCTAAAGTAACTCAGTTTAACACAGGCTGCAGATGTCTAGATGCCAGGAAACGTGATTTTAGTGGTCAGCCAAAATCCTGTCACTGACAGCCATCCTTGTAAAGGAGGTCAACCCCTGCAAGGTAGTCAGTCAGCTGAGACCCTGCAACCTACATCTTTGTAAATGTTAACCAATCAAAATTGTTTTAGCTGTACCCTTCTGTTTGTGGCTTTCTCCTTCATAAGCCTCTGTAACACTGCAGCTCAGAGAGGCACTGTGTTCATATTATCCTGGCACTGTGTTTCCCAT